ACTGAAGCTGCTCCCTAAGACATTCATCAACTGGTCATCAGAGAGGGCACTAAACCAGAAGTATGACCATAGACTCTACGGTCTGAAGCCCAGACACAGGTAAACACGGCACCCTTTGATAAAACTCATTATTATCGATTGCTAGGCTCTTCACTCCAGTGCATTTAACTAGCAGTCCTGTGAATGCAGAAGTCGGTTATGAAACTGTTGCACTGACTTTCCTGCTCAGTCATTCCAGATGAAATATCCACGCAAACGTCAGAAATGTTAACTTTTGAGTACAAATTAAACACATAATATAGAAGGACCCATCCAGCTGGGACGTTGCTTCAGTCTTTCTTTGTGTAGGTTGCCAACAGGTTTTTCCATTTGGATTTTCAACTTGGATGTCAATAAAACTCAAAAGTCGTCCCTTAAGGCTTTATGCCATGTCCCAGGCTATGAAATCTACTAGAGCTGTATTCAATACTGATAACTTTGTTTAGCATTGTTGGAGATCAAACATCAATGATCTAAGCGTGCCAAGCCCAGCAGACATCATGTCCCTTTAAAACCACGGCACCAACTCTTCCCATCCTCTCTCCCTGTGGCCTCCGGCTCTGTTAGGCGGGACACACCACTCTACAGGTGAAGCCACGTTACTTAATCACACCCTGCATGGAAGAGTGTTCGCTGGGGAAGCAGGCTGCTTTCTGCCTACGATTCAGAGAGAACTGAACGTAAAGTCTTTTCCTCTAATAGAAAAACTAGTCTGCTCGACCGTTGCTTGTCGCCTGGCCTGACTGAACTGTGCCTCACCTGATGCAGCAGAGCTCTGGGGTTTTAGTGTGAATGCACTATGTGCAAAAAGGGATGCATATACTTTAAAGAGGGAGAAGACTTAAAATTCCCCCAAAATGTCCAGATGATGTTATGGCAACTTGTGAAGAATCCACTATAAGCTTCTCTTTTGTGCATCTTTTTTTACAGACTATTGGACAGAAAGCCTCTGATCAACGATGATCTTCCAGGCCGGATTCTTCACGGAGCTCTTGTCATGAAGCCTAAGATCCGAGGGTTCAAGGATTCAGGCGTCATATTTGAAGACGGCAAAGTTGAAGAAAACAACGATGCTGTGATCTTTTGCACTTCTAATTCTTGCCTTCTGCTCGGGAAGGGTCTAACTTGAGTGGATTCCTTCCCACTATCATCGCAACCCAAACTCCTTTACAGGGGAACAGCAGACCCCGCCTATTCAGCCAGGCCAACAATTCCCTTTAACGACCCCCCCTTTCATAGACATAGAAACAAAACGACCCCCATTCCAAAGGGGTGGACGCGTTCGTCCGTTTCAATCTGCATGTTTTCTAAACAAAAACAAGGCTTTGTTGGGTTACTGTATAAAGCAACTCAACGCTATTTCTGACATTTTGAATTGAAAAAGCTTCCTGGATGGGAGAGAAATGTCTCCAAACTTGGAAACAAAGTCCAGTAGATTGTTCGATGTGGTAATTTCACACTACTACTACTGATCCAGCCTCATTCCCAGATATACATCAGTGCCAGGAAGACATCCGTGCTAAAATATCAAGGTGAAAGTCATCATTAGACCCAGCTTCCAACCCAGCTGTGAGAAAAGATTAACTGAGATATTTTTTTATCTCCTGATAAGAGTCTGGTGTTAACTTGCTGCGTTAACACCGAAAACGGCACACCACTAATTAAAACATTCACTTTTTCCTCTTTTTTTTTTTTCACAATTATGCACGAGTTACAGTTGGTCTATAATAATTTAGACGGGACGTTTTTGGAAATCAACATATCAAAAAAATCTAGACATATTAATAACACTTTAAAAGCACCGAAGAGTCGTAAAATCAAGAAGTGTTAGGTTGTATGTTTGATGTTTTAGGTTTCGCTCGTCTTCCATGGAAGCAGAAAATGCTGGAAGCCATAGAGGTCGAGAGGAGGTTAAACACAGGTAACCATCATCCTGATCATCAGAGCTGAATTATACATCAAAATATTTAAAACCTTCTTTCTGATGGATTTTAAAACTAAACTAATCCTTAACAAGCCGTTCTTGAAGTGAATTTCATGGCAAACCAGGTAAGTACCTCCAAACAGTTTGAGTTCAGTGACTCAGTGGCATCATCACACAGCGTCTGTGGGGATCTCTGCCTCTTGTTCGTTACCATAACTAAAAAAGTAAAGAAGGCCTTCATTACTGACAGAAATAAAATAACATCTATTTGCATAATGATCCTTTCTAAAATATAAGCTGGTAACCTACTTTAAACGGCATATAATTTGAAAACGGTATTAATAAATTGTTTTGTGTTCTTTGCTTTAAGGCAAGAAGGCTTAACGTTGGGATCTTGAGAAAATGGCCACAAAGTTCAGTTTTCCAGGAATGTTTTGCTCATATCAATAAAACAAAAACACTGTTTTCATAGTTTTAAAATGAGGTTATTGATGTATTTTAATTTATTTTGATTAAAGAGTGAAACACTTTACATGTTTGAATGTGATAAATGTATATTTGGGACAAGTAGAGTCTGTATTTCCTGGAAAAAAAACTATTTAATTGTAATTTGACACACAAATGCTTTAGAAATTAAATGAAGCCATTTTTGATTGATTCCCTTTTTAATTAAAAATCTTTACATTCAAAGTTTACAGAATATTGAACAGCAGAAACTAATTCGACACAAAATTCAATCACAGCAAGAATCATCTGGATACTTCAAGATAAGGTCATTAAAAATAAGATACAATACAATCGGTTTTTGATGAGCAAATCTGAAAACAGCAGATGATCACAAACCTAGAAACTCAAATATTGCAGTGAAACAACATACTTTACATTTTCATCCTTGTTAAAGACCTAGTAGCATCTAATTATAACTTTCACAGTAAAACAACCATAAACAGATTTGGTTGCAATTTGGCTATTCAGCATATTTGGATTTGCAACAGAAAAAGGGTGAGACCTGAAAGTGGGAAGTCACCCACAGAGCTGCATGTACTGGGAAGACTATGGGTCAGTTATTGCAGGAAGAGGGCACAGTATGACACGGGTCAATCAAACAGACGCTGATGGATCAGCGTCTGTTTGATTATCAAACAGAACCTCTGGATCTGGCTAAAACCAGCCAGATAGACTAATAAAATATCCAATCTAACACCAACATTTACTATACTGCCATTAAACATCCTTTTTGTCAAATAAAAAATGAAGCAACTCAAACACATTCATAGGAAATCTAAACTTTATGTTCATTTGAATCAGCCCACAGATAATAATACACATAATATATGCTTTTAAATTTAGATTGCACAAATAAAAAACAGGAATCGCAGGATTAGCTGTATTTAATTCCCTAATGATACCTGCAAGTAAAATCCAGTACAGCCGGGTGTCAGCTGCATGGAAAAGCTGCAGAGATTCACGGCTAATGTGGGAGAATCTGTGGACAGGAAAACTATCAGCTGCCCACTCTGTAAATATGGGCATCATGAGAGCCTGAAAAAAATACATTGTTGACAGGAAGCCATTAGAAGTCCAGGCTGCACAGCCAAAAGATACACAGAGACAGAAAAAGGGAAGAATAATGAACTTTCTGTACTACTAGATAAACTCTGTGTGTAAAGTGAACCCACCTTCTGCACAGTGAAACACAGTAATGGAAGCATCATGCTTTGGGAATGATTTCCTTCAACATAAACTGAGAAGCTGCTCAGAGGTGACAGAGAAATGGATGTAGCTCAACAAAGGACAGACAATGATCTGGATCTATTTAGATGGATCTATTTAGATCCAGATCATTGTTGACCCGGGGCTTCACCTGCCACCGGGTCAACAACTCTTAAGCATTTAGGTTGAGCTATAAAGAAAACGATTTAGATCTGATTTATTAGAATGGCCAACCCTAAATGCACGTGATTCCATCATCATATTCATCTTTACTGAAAACTGCGAATACAATCCAAACGCATAGAGATGAAAGCAGCTGTTGGGGGAAAATAAACAAACATACATCTTAGCTGAAGACTCGTGTTAGTCTGGCCCACTAGCAACTTATTGCCTTTCGAGGTCTTGGAAGCGAATGAGGAGATTCAAAACATTTGCAGATGTTTAATCACAGTCATGTAAATTTGCTGAATACTATAAACCACACATGAGCCCAGGTGAAGATCAGCTGAACTGGAAAATGTGCTTGGTGAAGCTAATTCTAACGTTTCTAACATTTTGTGATAATCACATAATAATGTGGTAAAGAAGTGTCAAAACTATACGCCCCCTTCTGACCTCCAGGAACTTTCTAACCATTTACCAGGTCATTATATAACAACTTTATCCACATTTCCTGCGAAATATTGATAATAAAATGGGAAACAGAAAGAAATCCCTTCAGAAGGCTAAAACAGCTGGAAACGCCTCTAAAAAGGAAACACATTGATAGTATTTTAATGAAAGATGGCAGCTCTCACAGTCACAGCCATCCTTACACAACCAATAAGTTATCTAGAGGTTGATTTCTAACAATGAAGCTTATTTTACTATAATTAACTGACAAAATGTTATGCTGGCTCCTGCAGTAGTAAAGTTAGCTTTTTTTTTTGTTGTAAGAAAAAAAAGGATTGATTGCATGTTACCTGACTTTTTTTAATTATTTATATCGTTGCTCCACTAATTGAATATTTAACATAATATAGAAAAAATAGCAACATTTACTACCAACATCATGCAAAGCACATGTAAACGTTCTTATATTAGTAAACATCTGTAATCAGACTGGAATTATGGAGCAGTGATGCATTAATATACAGCCTGCAGTCATGAACCTTTAACTGCAGCTACAGTCGGTTTATTGCGTAACAGAGGTCATGTTTACAGGACCACCTGCAAACTAAGGGAGAACAGCTGAGGGCGCTTATCAATCTTTGACATTTGACTTCATTGGCATCTATTTTGAAATATTAAAATCACTAATTTTATTGTTTTTTCTGCAAAAAAGACTTAAGGTATTAGAGACAGAATCTATTCTTTCATTGCTGAGAGGAATCCTATAAATAAAGTTATACTTGAAGATATGGAAAAGAAGGGATTTTAAATGTAAGACAGAAATCTGAAACTGGCTTAAAAAAATGCATTTAAGTTATTTTAAATAAAAGAATTAGCAGCTGCCAGTGAGAATTAGTATCGACACAAAAGTCAAACCAGGATTAATTCTTTGACACATTTTCTTCTTTTATATGTGACTTTAGGGACTAAGGAGCACATTCTGAGACGGATCTGCCAAATAAAAAGAATCCTTTTAAGCTTCAGAAACATTTAAGGCTAAAACCCTTAAATCCAAAAGGTTCAGACAATTAACAGTTTTTAAGTTTCCTTAAATGTTTTTACAGACATACCTTGTAGTTCATCAAACATTTATTTAATTTCCTTCCAAGATTCTCTCAAAATTTTGAAACTTTAGGGAAATATTTGTTCCTCAGTTACCTAATGTAAAAAAAAAAAGTAAAACAAAATACAAAAACATCAGTTAGAAAGAAAGAAAATCAGCTTAATGACAGAAAAACCTGAAACCCAGAGCAGGCACCGATGAACTCATGCATATAGAAGCTTTGGAAACTTCTCCCTCTGGTGCAGCTAATATAGCTTAGCATGCACAGGTAAACCAGAACATTATGACGACCTACTGGTGAGGTTAGAGCACCAACATGGCTGCTGTGAGAAGTTAGCAGAAGCCACCTACATGCAAGCAAATGATTCTAGAATCAGAAACTCCATCAGACCCTAAAGTCTCTAAGTTCTGCCCTATATGGTTGGATGTGATTCAGTAAAGGTAAACCCAATCATTGCAAAACCGTCTGCAGTTCAATGTGTTTAGAATAACAATCTACAGATGCTGACATTATTATGAGAATATAAAACACAAAAGGTTAATTAGGAAATGTTCTATGAGCACTTTGATGGACAGGAGGACACCATATGGCTGATAGTATTACTGGTGAACTCCTGCTAACATATAACTGACTATATGGTCCACCTAACCCACATGTCGGAGACAAGTGTCACTTTGACACATTACCACAGCAGTGACACCATGTGCAACTTTATTCACAAGTAGAAAACATCTAAACATGCAGAGTTTTTATTGTTCAGTCTGTTTATGGATCAGAATTCACAGCTGGTACTTATGTTTGCGTGCCTCTGCATGAACTAAAGGAAACAAGCTAGAACTTTATTAATCATTAGATTTTATAAACAGACATCTAAGCTTGGCTATTTATTCACTGCTGAGTGATCCTCTGAATTATAGGGAATTATTTAGTTAGTTTGTGGTGACTAAAGTAATAAACTGTGTCACTCCCCATTTCATCTCCAGGATTATCTTGAAATTAGCCATAACATAGCAATTAAAACTGCAGATTTAATTGGAATGATGTGCAAAAATGCTTGAATGTAAGACTGTTGGTGAAACCAAGAGGAGCTGATTCAGTCCAGGTCCCGCCTGGTTACCATTAAAATAACATTTGACATTTAAATTAAAATGACATTTAAGAAACTGAAAACTCAGAAGAAAGGAAAGATCACAAGCAGAACTTTCATGAATTCTCCTCCATAAAACAAGAAAATGTTAAAGTATAAAATTAAAATGAAAAAATGTGCAGAGGCCCTTTAAATAAAAACCTTTTTCATTCCCTCTTTCCTTCATACAGTCTCTAAAATGAAGCTAAATGCCCCAGCAGCCCCTGCAGAGCTGGAGGAGAGAGCCACAGTATCTCCACCAGCTTGTACTGGCAGTAACCCATCCAAAACCCAAACAGCACATCAGTAACATGGTGTCTTCCCAGCAGCACGCGGCTGAGCCCCACCAGGCCCACCCAGAGAAAGACCAGGACCCTCAGCGGCGTAGCCAGCACCAGGTGAGCCAGCAGGAACCGCCCACACATAGCGGCTCGGGTGGCGTGACCCGAAGGGAAGGAGTAGCGGTCCACAGAGAAAGTGGCAAACATGTCCATTTGGTTATGAGATGGGCGACGTCGACGCACCACCGCTTTAAGTATACCGACCAGGATGAGGTCCAGCAGGAGGCCTGTGATGCAGAAGAAGAAATAGAAATGAATGATGGTTACAGCCTCACACCTAAACACACAAACACTATGAACACCATGTCAGCATCAGCAGGTAGCTCACTTTACCTATCAAGATCAAGAGAACCAGAAACTAGCTCATTGGCGCCATCTGGTGGCTGTATTAAAGAAGCACCAGACTTATGTGGTATCTATCATTTGTTTCCTGCATATAAGTAATGTTGCAATATATTTCTATCCTTAGATTCTAGTTTTCAATTCAGTAAATACATGATGTTTCTCATATCTAACTGATATCTGACTTAATTAAACCTCCTTATAGAGCTGCCATCTCAGTCCTACAGGATTTATTTTTCCTACAGATGTGACCTAAAACTAAAATTACATGTGCTACTAATAACACTGCCCAATGGCTTTACTCTGTGTCCTAATAGGTCGACACAGTGTGGCGCCGATGCAGCCCGCTGCTCCCCATAAATACACCACAATGGAAACACAGCAGGCTTTTGTCACAACCTGCATGATGTTGCAGTGACGCGTTATCCAACCCTGAACTTAAAATGTAGATTTAAAGTAAAAGTGGGAAAGGAATGGTGCAGTTTATTATGAATGCATGACATTGAAATGTTAAATACAGAAGCTGATAAGTTTTTGAAACAGAAAAGTTGATTTTTTTTAATATATACTTTTGTTTTAAATATCTACTTTAAATCACTTAACTTTCAACATCAAATGCATAAAGTCACAGCAGTTTAAAGCAGCTTGTTTCTTTTTTTAAAATCTATTAAATAGTAGGGGTGTGCAAAATAATCGTCATGACGATGCATTGCGATTTTAATTTTTGTGATCTGCTGCAATGATTCTTGATGCCAAGTATTGATCCTTAATTAACAAAAAGGAATAAATTAAATACATGAATGGTTGGCACACATCAGCCAAAAACAAGTGGAATACAACTTTCAGTTCAGTAGATGTCGCCGCCGATACTGCGACGAGTCATTTATAAACAAAACATGAAGACTGAGAAAATATGCCCAGCTCCATCGCATTCCAAGTCAGATGTTTAAATGTATTTTGGCTTTAAAAACAAAGAATGTAAAAACTAAATTGATAAAATGTTTCCATTTCATTGGTTTAAAGGAGCACTGAGGCCATGTAAACGGCACTGTTATTTTAAGTTTTATAAATTTTAAGCACTTTTTGTCAGTGTGTCCACTCCAGTAATAGTAATATTTGTGTCCAGTATTTGTTTTCATGGCAATCCTTTGATAGTCGTTTCAATAAATACAGCTATGTATGAATTCAGTTGCTTTCAGTTATGTATCAATAGAAGACACTATCCAGATCACACCCAGCCAGTCAGCCACTGGTAATAGCTGTATTTTTTCTTACAGTGTTCAGTGATAATATTGCAATGCATCGCAATATTTCAAGCATTGCGATGCATCGTGATAGAATCACATCGTGGCATGTGAATCGTGATTCGGATCAAATATTGACTTCTTTGGCAATACCCACCCCTATTAAATAGTGCATAGAAATGGGACTAAAAATCAACATGTGCTGCACAAGTGGTCCACAGAAAACCTTTGTTGACCGCAGTAGCATCAATAATCTATGGTGCAGTTTGACGGAGCTGCAGGTTGTTTAAAGCAGAGAGGAAGCCGTTCTAAAAACTCTTTCCAAAGGGCAGCCTTCTAATAACGTCCTCTGGGGTTGGAAATAGAAAGACTGCAGCAAAAAAACATCACTGCTGGACAATGTTTCCAAACGCGTGACTGAAGCTGCTGCTGAAGCAGAGAGATCCATCAGTGAACAACTGTGCTACTATGCCTCCTACACATTAATTAATAACTAAATATATTTTATGAAAATAGCTCCTTACAAAAAATATAAACTGATATATCAGCCACCTTCTGGTATTGAAATAAGCGTCAACTAATTTAGTAATCAATTAATCTTTAACTGGAGTATAAGACTCTAAAACATGCCTTTAGCTGATAAAGTGACCCAATCAGAGCAGATTTTATATCAAAATTGTACAAAAATATCTAAATATTTTGCATTTAAGGTAGAAAAAACATTTTCATCTGTCAAACTGCTCTATCCAGAACTCCTCAAGTGGAAAAGCTTTAGATTAACTCAGTTTAATTTTATAAAAAAAAAAAAAATCTTCTTTAAGGAACCTTTGGCTATCAGATTATTATTTGATTAATCAAAAAAATATGTGAGAGATTAATCAATTTGCCAAAAAATTGTTAGTTGCAGCCTTAGAAGGGACAATTAATCTGTAGTAAAATGTGGGGAGAATGAGGGTAAGAGAAATTCATTGAAATTATAGGATTATAATCAGGACACAATGAGTCAAAACAGATTAAAATAATCTGAAAACAACCTCCAAATCCTAGTCTTAAAGGAATAGTACACCCAAAACATGATTAGCCTTCATTTTCTACTCACCCCCCATGCTGAACAACACTCTGGAGTACTTTTTTGATATCTCAAATGCATCTGGAGATCTGGGAGGCTTCTTGCTGTCTGCTGACATTCAAATAATGGAGGTCTATGGCGCCCGAGGCAGAAAGGTCCATAAAAGTCCACAAAAAACGTGTCAATATTCCTCCATACTGCTCGTCCAATGTATTCCAAGTGTCCTGAGTGGGTAGCGTCCACAATTTACTCGAAACGAAGTCATTTAGAATGTTTTTAGAGCATAAACAGTAGTGTATAGGATTTCCTGAAAGCGCGCACATGCGCGATCACGACGCTACGGAAGCCGGCAGACCCAACCAGATGAAAGTGCGCATTCAGCGTCTGCTCTTCCGATAATGCAAGCGTAGAAGAAGAAATGTGCCGTTTACCTGTGCAAAGAAAGAAACAACGAAAGAAAAATGTCTGAGGACTTCAGTGTTGAGGAAGAGCATGAGTTCTTTGCCGAGCTGAATGCGCTGGTTTGGTCTGCCGGCTTCCGTAGCGTCGGGATCGCGCATGTGCGCGCTTTCAGGAAATCCTATACACTACTGTTTATGCTCTAAAAACATTCTAAATGACTTCGTTTCGAGTAAATTCTGGATGCTACCCACTCAGGACACTTGGATTACATTGGACGAGCAGTATGGAGGAATATTGACACGTTTTTGTGGACTTTTATGGACCTTTCTGTCTCGGGCGCCATAGACCTCCATTATTTAAATGTCAGCAGACAGCAAGAAGCCTCCCAGATCTCCAGATGCATTTGAGATATCAAAAAAGTACTCCAGAGTGTTGTTCAGCATGGGGGTGAGTAGAAAATGAAGGCTAATCATGTTTTGGGTGTACTATTCCTTTAAGGGTACAAGACGTCAGTGTGAACCAGGCTAAGGACTAATCCTTGTGTTATCGAATGCAGACTTTATAAATTGTAAATCTGTAAAGTGGTTAATATGTACTAGGGATCTTATCGCTCAACTTAACTGACAGGTGGACATTCTCTTAAAAACCTGAGATTTTAAAAAGGTTTCATAAAATGAAGGGCTAAATATTTTTTTTAATAATATCTTAAGGTTAAAAAAAGTAGTGCATCGTGTTTTAACCATTTATTGTGCCAACTGTTCAGTTAAGTGGACGCTAACTGTGGTGCAGCTCTGTTTTTAGTGCTAACAGCAGCATTTTAAATCATTTCAAGTGATAAAATGTGTCTATGTATTACCATACAAAAGCCTTCCCATCTACCATGCTAACGGCTAGCATGTGTTTTTGTGTCTTTTGTGAATCTTGCGCAATGTCCTCCACCTTGGTATCATTACATCCTGGCCGTCAGGGCACAGCAGAGAAGTGCTGCTCCGCCATGCAGCATCAACTTAAGGAGTCTATTGAATGTTGATATTTAAAAAACAGAAGCATATAAAGTGCATCCTGCACCCCTGTCGTCATTAAACGGTGTAAATAATCCTGGACTGGGTACTGGATCAATTCTGCTCAAGCATTCCTGATGCTCTGACATTACTTCTGTTGCAAATAGAGATGATGGTCAGCTTAAAGGAAAGTCCGGTCAGCAAGGAATGATCAATGGGTCGTTATTTATACTTAAAACTAATACATTCGCAGTGATTTATTGAATTTAGTGTTAATCAGTAAAAAAATAAAACAGTAATTTTCATCCCGATCACTGAGTCTGAGAGCAGCCATTTTCCCCCAAATATAGCAGCCCCTCCCTCCTGCGATCTTCCAGCAGTGACGTCACGGTGCGGTTAGCCTAGCGCCATTCTCCCCGCTTTCCAAGCTAAATCAATGGGAACTACTAGACACATCTGCAATCAACAACAATTATTGAAGATTTCCAGAGGACTTCACCATTGAAATTCACCAGAGCTATAGTGAAACTGACAATGCCCACGTGCATGGCAGCTGGATGCTGGAATACATCGGAAGAAAAAACCCGTAATATGTAGCCAACATTTGGAAGAAGAATGTTTTCAAGATGACTTGGATAATAGCGCGTTGTGACAAACACCAGATACAGCCGATACCGCACCGTGACGTCACTAACCAGTAGGTGGCAGTAGTGTTCTTTGACAAACATGGATGCCTCCAGTAAAGCACATTCACATGAAAATTACTCTGAATTAAAAACACTGATCATTTATTGAACAGGATGGAATCATTTCAGATTTAAAGAACTTTCAGCAGTTTGAATTCTGAATATGACCGAAGTTCTCCTTTAAGAGTTAAAAGGAACGGCAGTGATAAAAACATTTTAATTAATCCATTAATCTACTACTAATTGTTTACATCTTTAGTATGAACCAATGTAGCGACAGTAAATTTTACCTTTATTTGTCTTTGGAGGTCAAAATTTCCAACTGCTGAGTCATATAATTCGAAAGAAATGCCGCCAACAATCCTAATTATAAGTCGGGATGTTGGAGCAACAAGGTGTTTGTTAAAGAATTATAATATTTGCTTTAAACTTTCCTACACTAACTGTTTGTAGCAGTTTTTTTTTTTTTATATGCATGTAGGATTAACTTTTAGTACCCTGTGTATGCACAGAACAATGTAGGACAATGCTTCTGTGATTTCTAAGGCACCAGTGACTGCAGAGATTACAAGCAGTAAACCAGAGAGCATTTACTGTGGAGTTTATGACATTTCATATTGATAAGTCCTGGGGAAAATGGAACCACCATTAGACCACAGTGTTGATGATATAATTCCAGTGAGAGTGGATGAAAAGCAGTTGGTAGAGGAGCTTTCAAGATGTGCCTCTAGCAATAAAGTGCTAAAATATTCATGCAGTGCTGAGGTGACTTTTACGAAACAGCTGGGAATGCAGCAATTCGTTTTTAGGAAAATGCTAATGGAAACAACCTAAAAAAAGGCCATTCTAAGGTAAGACTTTGCTTTTAAAGGACATTTACCGTCCTTTTTGATCCAATTCATGTTATACTTATTTTAAAAAATGCTATTTCTGCTCTTAATCAAGACAAAACAGAGGTTTTAAAATTAGTAAGAACTCTTACGCCCAAATAAATTCATATATAAAAGAAAAAAAGTCATATTTCTTACTTTGGCATAATGTTTATTTTATAAATTATTATGAGGTAGTTTTAATTGTGCTTAAAATTATTAAAGGTTAAAGCAGGACATGTTTGTCCTGTTTACTTTTGTTGTTTATAGTCTTTGCTCTTCTGGTTGTACCAGAAGTAAGTAAGAAAAGTCAATGATTATTTGTTTCCTGCATCTCTTGCCTGTCGAACCGACCTGGAGGGATGTTCCTCAAAACAGCATCAAGGTTTGATCTTTGTTGCATTTCTTTCACTGATTTTCAGGAAAAACAAGTTTTTTCTTCATGTAGTCATATTTAGTTGATCTGTAGGAAAGTGGAACCAAAGAAGGAACTTTTAAGATTGTGTCAAAGATGATTGAAAAAGGTTAAGGACAGAACCGCCACATGTAAAAGAAAATATTATGATCATAAAAAGATGCATCACTTCTAGCAAAAAACATGCAGAACACAAAGTTAGAGCAAACCAAGGGAATGTGTTATAAAGCAGTGGATCCTCTCTGAAATGGTACCAGATTATTTACCATGTAATTGACAACATATTGTTCATAGATGTTGGAGATTGGTGTGTTTTTCAGTGTAGTCCTGTTTCTCTGACTGTGACTAACTGGATGTGCTCTATTCATCCTCTTACATGGGAGCTGGCTCGGAGCTCATCTGCCTGGCTGTGTGTTTCCTGGACGGGGTCGCCATTTACAGTTGCCTTTTGTATCTATGCTTCTTTTTCTATGTCTGCTTCTGTCTACTTGAACCCGTCGCTCACACTGAGCCTGGTCCTGCTGCAGTTTTCATCTGTTAAAAGCGAGTTTTTCCTCTCCACTGTCGCTACAAGCATGCTTAGTGTGAGGGATTGCATTTGGTCAATGAGTCGATGCAATCAACTAGTTTTCCTAAGATATAAAACTTTGAATCAATCTGACTGGATGATCTGGTGAACTGGAAAGAGAAAAGATAGTGATGAGGAGGAGAGTGTATTTACCTAGCAGCAGGTTGAGCATGACTTCCTGTCCTGCAGCACTGTCACTCTTATACAGACAGTAAGCAGCACCTGCCAGCCACGGGATGCCGTGACCGGAGATCTCGATCAGCTTCATCAGTGGGCGCGCGCTGCCCCAGGAGGAGTCCTCAAAGGCACAGACGCTGAGCCGCTTGGACAGCCAGAGGTCAATGGCGAGCAGGGAACTGAGGGAGATGGCGATAAGGGACGGGTTGAGTCGTATTCCGTCCTCCTCAGGTGGCCCCTGGCCGCTCGCAGAGCCCGTTGAGGACCCGGAGCCCCTGCGACGAGATGGGCTTTCCGAGGCCCGGAGGCGGGCGGTGTTCGGGTCGGAGCCCTGTCGCTGGAGGAGGTGCGGTGAGGAGGACCGGTTCAGCGGCTTCGTCAGCGACACGAACTCAAAGGAGCTGCCGAGAACCGGGCTTCCGTCTCTGCGGCCGGCGTTTTTAGCCTTAGGAGAAGGCATTGCTTTCTCTCTTATGATTTTTTTTAGACCTCAGAAGTCAAGAAAGAGGAAACAGATAAAAACACCACGATGAAAAATGTTGACACCTTCGCAAAGGTTCCCTTTAGCTCATCTGTTGATAACTGTCACGTCAAAGTACGTTGAAGCGAACCGCCATATTTGTTGCTTTGTGCGAAGTGCACTCTGGGAAATTGATTCTTCTTTGTCTTCCGCGATTTTTTTTGTTTTTTTTTTAGAACTTTATTGAAAATTTTGTACAAATATACAGACATATAGTTACAAAGAACATTAGACAGGTGCTCTAATAACAAAACAAAATAAATAAAGAAAGAAAATAATGAAAAGGAGTGTACTTACGCTATTCTATGAAAAATCTTTCAAAAATATCTGTGGATGTGGTGCTTTGTTTAGAATCAATTAATGTAAGGGTGTTCATGTATTCTTTAAATTCAAGAAAGAAACATTTGAATTTTGGGGGTGTTTTGGAATGTTTGCGTTTGTCTATATGAAATTTACCATTCAAAATGAATAGATTTGTAATAAAAGCAGCTTTCATGTCTCCATGGACAAAATAAAATATTACACTTTTATAGTCAATTTCAATGTTTGTTTTGAGTTTAAACATTATATATTGTTCAAGAAGAGTCCAGAAAGTACGGAAGAGGATTAGGGCCAGAGTAAAAAAAAAAATTTAACTGATTTTTAAATTTTATTTCAGTTTTGTATGGGAAAAAAAGCCAGAATTCTGATTTCTTTCTCAGAATTCTGACTTTTTTCTCAGAATTCTGACTTTAATCTCAGAATTCTGACTTTTTTATCGTCAGAATTCAGTCAGAATTCTGAGAAAAAAGTCAGAATTCTGACTTTTTTATCGTCAGAATTCTGACTTTTTTATCGTCAGAATTCTGGCATTTTTATTGTCAGAATTCAATCAGAATTCTGAGATTAAAGTCAGAATTCTGAGATTTCCCATGTTAAACTGTAATAAAATTGAAAAATCAGTTAACTTTTTTTTTTTTTTAGTGGCCCTAATCCTCTTCCGTAAGAAAGTGGTAGATTGAGTACAATGATAAAATAAATGAGATAAGGTTTCTGGTACCATGTTACAAAAACTGCATTTATTTTCAATATCTGACAATTTAGAAAAAAATAAATTTGTCGGATATATAGTGTGTAAAATTTTAATGTGAATCTCTTTGAACTTATTAGATATACAGTATTTATAAAGTAATAGCCAGGCCTTCTTCCAGTCAGTTACCATAAAGATGTTATCCCAAAATGCTTTTCCTCTCTTTCCTTCTCTTTTCGTAAAAACAATTACGTATATGTTTGTTGTTGCATTTTGAGTCTGTTACATCATAACCATTAATCATTAGAGGGGGTTTTATTCTAAGTGCTTCATGGTACTGACAATGACTTCGGATCAGGAGAGAAAGGCAACTAGGGATAGCCTTAGTTACCTAATTGAATTCTTTATATGTGACAGGAAAGGATTTAAGTCTGAGGAAATGTTCATAGCTTAGCATTATACCATTAGTCAAAAAGGTCGCATACAAAGATTATATTTTTATCAACCCAGTTCTGTAAAAGTATAGATTTTTTCCTAATAGTAATATCTTCATTATTCCAAATTAAGGCTTTGTGAGGAGAAAAGTTGTGGGAGTAGCAGAGTTTCCAGGCTAAGAGAGCTTGTTGGAGAAATTTGGAAAAGTTTTAAAGGTAATTTGGTAACATTGTAATTACAGGTGAGTAAAAAGTGCAGAGCACCCAATTTTTAAAAATTATTATTAGGAATAAAAAACCAAATTGAATTAGGGTTTTTAAGACATTCCTTAATCCATTTAATTTTAAAGGCGTTATTCAAGTCATTGAAATGTATTAATTCGAATCCTCCTTGTATCCTGGGTGCTGAGAGAATTTCATTCTTCAAAAGAGGTTTCTTATTTTCCCGGTGAATTTGCTGAGAATTCTATTTATTTCTTTGGATGATAAATTTCCAACAAAAAGTGATAGGGCAGGATATACCAGTCTCGAAATGCCTTCGGCTTTAGATAAGAGAATTCTGCCAGAAATCCAAAGGTCACGTTGAAGCCACATATTCATGATATTTTGGGTTTTTCTAATTCTGGGGAGGAAATGAAGTTGCTGTCTGGAAGACAAATCATTAGAGATGTCTATGCCTAGGTATTTCACCGTTTTCTTTACTTGGATATTTCATATGTTTGAACAATTGGTGTCATAAAGACACAAGATTTCACATTTGTTAATTTTAAGATATAAACCTGAGGCTTTAGAAAAATCAGCAACCAATTGTAAAGCTGTAAAGCCGGTGGTTCACCGTTTGCAGCTTGTCATGATTTGTTTTTGTTACGTGTTTGATACCTTCCATGTTTTCTTTGATAGCTACAATCTCTTCAGTGTTATGGCTGATTTGTTGCTGGAGAGATATGAACCTGCTCGTTAACTGTTCAATAGCTCTCAGTATGTCTGCATTGGAAACCTGGTCGCTGTCTTTCCAGCATGCTTTTTGGAGGCAGGACTTGAGAGAGGAGTATCAGGTAAAGGGGAGCATAAGCTGGGCGGAGAATCATCATTCCAGTCCATCAAAATGTTCCCTCTTTTTTCTTTACATTTTGTCATGTTGTTAGCTTTAGTTTTGGCTAGTTAGCTCAGGGTTAGTAGAAGAGGTTGAAAAAGTAAAAGAAAGGGCTTCCCAGGATCGATAACGGGCAAGACTTTAGTTCTCTTATTGTCTTTTCGTTCACATACCAGTTCTTGAAAGTGATGTTCCGTTAACTTTACTGCAGTTTGTAGGCAAGTGGTGCCCAAAACTCGGAGGAGCTCACAGCGTAGCGTGTGTGCTGGCTGCCATCTTGGCTCCCTTACCAAATGACTTGATAATTTCTAATAATTTGACTTTGGACTGTTTTTAAAAACTAACAAAGCATCAGCTGCAAATAATGCATAACGGTGTTGTTGATGCGCAATTGTTATGCCTGTTTCATTCTAGCCAGTTCTTATGGTTATTGCTAATGGTTAAATAGCTTTAATAAACAGCAAAGGAGGTAAAGCATCCCCTTTACTGAATCCTTTTTTTATTTTGATATGTTTTACAATCAGTCTAACTCGACTATGATAGAAATTTCCATTTGATAAAATATTCACCAAAACCACAACACTTAAAAACCTCAACAGAAATAAATGCTCCACTCTGTAAATGTCTTATTCAGCATCTGATGACAGTAGAACCACTGCATCCATTTCCTGTTTTTATTCATCATATTTAGAAGTCTGACATTATGAAAACTTAACTATTCTTATCTTTAAGGATTAAATTTGCAAATATTTCAAATATTCTTTGATAGAAAATACAAAAAATATTTTATACCACTCTTTAAGTTAGATTTGCTGTCAGTCAATTAAATAATACATAAATGAAAGTTTGTTTTTAATACTTTGTGAACTGAGCTGATTTCATGTATTGTATAATGGATGTGTTTCAATTAACCCTTTATAGGGCGAGTTAGCATTTTGGATCACTTGCATCCCCCTTACAAATGGAGCCCCTCCTGTCCCTCAGTGAGATCTAGAAGCAGAAGATCTATATCCAGCCATTCAGCAAAGATCCTGCTACATGGCTGTACATCTTATCTTGGCATTTGACCAATTAGAGGAGCCCTTTAATGATATATTACCTCCTGTAAATTAAGTTGGGGAAAAAAAGTTAACAAGTCAAGAAAAAAAGGTAAAAGGCTAATTGAAAAGTTAAAAAGGGAAAATTAAAAAGTTACTAAGCCTAGTTAACAATTATATTTAGGTTTACAAACAAACAAATGTAGGTGCCAGTATCAGCATTAATGCCTCTAAGGTTATGTTGTTTCACTCTGAGTGTTTTTCATGAATTTCTTATAGAAGCACTTTTGTTATTTTTCTCAATATATTTGGGCTAGTTGGCGTTTTTTGTTATTACATTGACATTCATTTTTGCCATCAAACTATTCATATTTTTTTTAATGTTACAAAGGTAATAAGGTCTAGTCCTGGATTCCAATAACACTATTGGCTGGAAATGTAGATTTTCAAAGTATTTCACTGAGAGCCTTCTAAAGGGATAAGGACACTGGGTTTAGTTTAATTTAAAAGCAACGCTGCCATCTACTGGCCACTCAGAATTACTACATAAACTCCAAGACAAAAACCTCAGACTTTTTATGTGACTGACTGAGCATCCCAGGTACTTCACTGCTCCTGGATTCAAAGGAATAACCAAGAGAGCATTTTAGCACTAAGGCTAACACAGCATTTGTTTTACAACAGACAAAAAAGAATTATTAAAATTAATTCCCATTATTAGCAAAAAAAAAAAAAATCAAAGAAGTTTAAAAACCTAATTGCAAACTTTAAAATAAACCAACTAGGGAAATTTGGATAGTTTTCAATTTTCACAAAAAATTTAGGTCAGAAAACAGGCCAGCAGTTTATTGGCCAGCAAGATCTTTCATCTGTGATGAAAAAAAGCCATTAAGGCTCTGATGTTGCTGCTGGTAAAGCAGAGCGTTTTATTAGGCAGCGTTTCCACACTTTTCCAAATCCAATGCAAGGACTCATTCCCAAGGACCTCATGAAAATCTGGTCTGTTTTTAGTGATTTATTTGGAAAATATCGATGTTTGAATTCATGTTCTTGTTGTTTATTGTGATCAGCAGAGATTGACTGTAAAATGTTTTTGACATCTATTCATTTTCATCCTCCCCTCTGTGAAAACCTATAGATTTTTTCTGGAACCGCCACTAATGAACAACGACCACAAACCTGTTTTCTATGGTTTGTTACAGAGTGCAGTTTGATTTTAGCTCCCCCAACTTGAGTTGTTTTATGCTTTCTGTCCTTTTCATAGAGCTAACTGGCCGCCTCTACCAACATTTTCTGGAACCGCCACTGATGAACAACAACCACAAACTTTATAGACCTAATTTGTTCAGAAGCTGCAAGATGACCAGAACAATTGTTCTGTTTACATGAGAAACAATAATAACCACAAATATGCTGAAGCGCTGCACTATAGTAATATTAGAACTCTTGCTCCAGTTGACTTCAGTTTGTTTATTTATAAAGAACCAATTTACAGCCAATTATTTCAAGAGCCTTAACAAAAATCAAACCTTTATTATAGTGATAATAAATAACAGGTGAAGATAGAATGACAGGAAGAACCAGAGAGAACCAGACTCATTAGGCAAGATTTGATATAATTCAGTCTTTTAAAATAAAAACAAATCACAGCTAATGTCATATCAAGGCAATTTACATGAGAGCTTTAAAACAGAAACATGTAACAGAATTCAACACAAACAGAATTAAATTAATTTATAAACATCCAGTTAGATCCTATTTACAATATGATGAAGATAAATTTAGTGTATTATGGCGCTTAAAGAAACATATTCAATCCAGGGAAGCTCAGCCAATCACATCCAGTCATGAATGCAGCAGTCCCTCCTCCTGAGCAATGAAGTGGTGACAGTAGAGAGGAAAACTAGCTTTAAGCAGGAATGATCCTCCAGAAGAACCCGGCTCCATGTCAGCGCCCATCTACTGCTGCCGAGCGAGTCTTTAACAGGACAGCAGACGTCCAACAGACACAGAGGCGCCGGTCCAAGGAGCAGCTGACCATCTGGAAAAGAAGAACAGGAGTTAGTGAGAGAACACGCTAGGCTGTGACATTTAAACACAGAAACACTGGGAGAGGTGGAACTTTCACCAAGAGAAGAGGAAGACACACAGGGAGAAGCTAAAGTTAACAGCAGTGATAACTGTAGACAATGGATGCTTGGAGAAAATGCCTGAAAATGCTGCATTTGTTGGAGTCTTCAGTCGGTTTGATCAGGGTCGTTTCTCTGCTTTAATAAGTTCTAAAAACCCTTCAGACATAAACCAGGGGGAAATTCTCCCACATTGGATCAGAAGCTGCTTCTGAACCGTTAACTTCTGCTTCTGGTGAAGGTTTGGTTACAGAGATGAAAACTGAGGTGGAAAGATAAGGATTAAAGGTTAGACCACCTTGATGGGATGGCTGTGGTTTTTCAATCTGTTTGTTCTAGATCTGTTTTTAGTACCTTCACCAATACTGATGAACATCTGGAAGCAATAAAGGTTCTTTACCTTCTTTCTGGGTGGAGCAGACTGATGGTTTAGTTGTGGGCTCTTCAATGTTTTTCAGTCCAGACAAATCGAGGAGCCATGTTTCTCCTCCTTAGTGGTCTGTTTTCTCCATCCTCTGCTTCAGCTCCTTCATCAATGAAAGCAAAGTGTCCTCAGAGTCTGAAACTGTCTGCATGTGACGCCTCTCTAGTCAAACAACCAACATACCTTCAAACACGTGTGGATGGACTCTGCTCCACTGAGATCCCACTGCTAGATCACTGCTTCCATATTCAACCTGCTTCTCCTGTAAAAAAGAAGCTAAATTAATCCACAGAATTTCCTCGACACCAATTTTAAAGTTGAGTTGTCTGTTTGTCATGTTAATAAAGGCTTACTCCAGGTGTTTTCCTCTGTGCCGTCCTCAGGTGGGGACTAGGAGGCTCCTCAGCATCCTGGATGTCCCGGTTCCTCACAGGAGTTCTGCTTTTGGACGTCCACAGTGTCTGAACATAAATGAAAAATTAAGTGAGGCCACCTGAAATGCTGACTTTATATCTAAATGATGGATGATTGTTGCTCGTTACTGTACATGCTCTCACTCTTTGTAAAGGCCAGCAGCTCAGATGATGCTCCTCTGGTTTGGTCGCCGTAGATCTCATCAGCATCTTCTGACGGCCCAAAGCTTGTAGCGGCTCGGTCCGACATGGGATTTAAAAAACACAGAGGAGATCCAGTGTGGTCAGAACTGGCCTAGATCATATGGGGAGTATTTCTGCAGAGGGATATTTCACTAACTGACCAGAGGAACATCTAGAACTAGATCAAGTCACAGCTGAAAGCAGGTTCTAACAATCGGCGCCGTTTACAACCCACATCCTTCCATCAGTCCTGTCCTCTGCTTTAAACTGCTCTGAAATCAATTAGTCCCTCCAAGCATCGTCTTTACCTTCTCACCATCATCCCAGAGACCAGTTCAACTGATGACCACTTCAAGCTGTGTCACTGTTCTATTCTAGATCTAGATCTAGCAGCATTGTCCTGCTCTAGATCAGGGCTGTCCAGCTCCACTCCTCCAGAGCTGCTATGCTGCAGCTTTTAGTCCCATCTCTTCTCCATCAGACCTGAATGGAACGGCGGATTTCCCTCATCAGTCATTCAGCTCTGCAGAGGTCTGGTAAAAGGCTGTTTGTTTGATCCTGGTGTGTTGGAGGAGAGATGCACCTGAAAGCTGCAGAAACACTGCTGTAGAGGACAGGAGTTAGAGAGCTCTGCTCTAGAGAGCTTCTAATCAGTCTCCACTGCAGCCTTGTCCCTCTGCCTCTAGACTTTAAGTTGTCCTCATCTCCACTTTTAGACCTTTAGGATCTTAGTTTGACTTCCTGTGTTTCTGTCCTCAGCAGCGACGTCTCACTCCTTAGAGGTTTTGATGCGTCCCCAGCAGCGATGTCCAGCTGTTGCCTCGGTTTGGTTTGTCTCCTTTTTGCTTCGCCTGTTTTCAACCAGGATTTATGTTTTTGTCTTTTTGTTTATTTTTTCTATTTCGTTCTGTGTTTGTGTGGATTGTTTGGTTTGCCTTCTGTTACCTAGGAGATCGTCCAGCTCTGTCATTAGACGTAGAGCATGTTAGATTATTTCTGCCTTAACAAGCTCTCATGTTTCACACCTTTTATAAATTGTTAGCACATCTCCAGTCTCTGCTCAGATGTCTGTACTAAAGGAAAATTCTTAACATCTCAAACTTAAAACAAAATCTAGCAGCGGGGTAAAGAAAAGCCACGGTGCAAGACGCTACCTAAGGCATCCCTAGACCTGCCAGATATTAAACCAATCAATAAATAATATCTAAATGTGACTGTTTCCAGTCTTTCAGCCTATCCACCTCCAATCGTCATCAAATCACCAAGAAAATACATCTAACTCCTCCTGCAAGATGATCCAAAGCAAGTTGGTAAAATGTTTGGTTCTTCTGCTTAAGTCTCAGCTTCTCTTCAGTGTGAGAAGCTGTTAAAGGAGTTAAATGAAGATTGTTGGTGAAATTCCTCTCCTCACTATTCCTCCCTACAACAAAACTTCTTGGCAGGGGGCTCCTCTTCATCTTCGTCTTCCTCTCTTGTCCTCCTCCTGGAGACAGAGCCAGTCCCTGGAGGTCGGTGGTCTTCTTCGTCCTGTGGTGGAAGGTGGTCACTGTCTTCATCGTCTTCTTCCTCACAGCTATCATACATGGAGCCGTCACTAGACCCATCAAGAGACTGACCAGTAAGAAGCCACCAAACCTCCTCATAATCCTCTGTCACTTCATAAACCAACACCACCGCTTCAACCTCCGCACCTTCCTCCGTAAAAACCTCCTCATGGTCCCTGGAGAACAGTTCTATACTGATAATTAAAGGAAAATCAACCTGATCAGTGATCAAGATGCAGAGCTCCAGGAAAGGATCAGATGGAAGCGGGGCGTCTGGAGCAATGAGGAAAAAATCATTAGACCAGGAACATTAATTAAGGAACATTAAATCACAAAACTCAATGCTTTATTTTAGGTTGCTGGATGTGCCTGTGTGAGTTACTCAGGTTTACGTAGATTTAATCAATAAGAACATCTGTTAGCTAAAACTAATTAAAAAAACATCTAAACAATGCTAGTGGTTTGATTAGTGTTAAAAGAAACATTTAAATCGTTCTAAAATAACACATACATACAAAACTACACACAAGTATTTCCATATATGTATATATCTGTGTATATGGTCCTCGGCATCAGTGGGAGGAGCATTTTTCTGATTTCACCGTAACACTAAGGAACGATTGTTGTAAAGGGAGGACATTTTGCTGGTCCTCACCAGCTATTTTGCTGACGGCTAATTTAAGAACAAAAAACTACAATATCTTTTAAATCACAAGAAAACTATTAAGTTGTAAGTTTATTTTATATTCAAATCTTTTTTTTTTACCGGTTAATGGGGTTTAGATTTTTATTTCAGGATGTTAACAATAAAAAAATACGCTCTAAATGGTGCACTTATTTATTTTATTTTGATTAGACTCCCTGCAGTTACACTAAACTCCCCCTAGGGGGCAGGCGCCCCCTTTGGGAGCTGCTGACCTAGACTATTCATTCAGATTAGTTCAGATTAAAGGACATTTTAAACTGCCAATAAACCGTTCTTTTTTATCTTTATCAGAAAAAAAAGTTCCACTGGGTGATTTGGTAATATAATCATGAATCTTTGAGGTTTAATAACTATAAGCAGAAAATTGTAATAATTGACAGAAATAAAGGATTAAAAACATCAGGCTTTAAATTTCAGATCTATAATTTCTCAGAATCAGAACCTCAGCTTATCAGACCCCTTCCTCAGTGCATCCTAGAGTAGAAATAAAGACCTTTATTAACACATAAAAAGCCCAGAGCAGAAATAGACATTAGCAAACTAGAAGAATTTTGTTCTTTTTCTAAAAACTCTAAGAAAGGGTCCTATACAGAACTTTTAATGGTTTAGGCGAAACCCTCCAGTGTTGAATGTTTTGAAGATCTAGAAAATGAGACCTCAATGAACAAATTGTATTATTACTGGTGACAGATGGGATGAAATGATCTATATTCACCTGAAAATTTAAACAAGCGCTGAAGAAAAATGAAGAATGAGCTCAGAAATATGTTTAAATAATATATTGTTCTAAAATGATGTTTTAATTCTACCTTCTCCCTGTGAACATAAAAATATCATCCTCCTTTCTAAACTCTTGATTAAACATTTATTCTCTATGCTTTCCTCACACAGTTAGCAATGGCAGCACTTATAATAAACTTAGTCAACTTCTAAACATGTTACAGCCAAAACATGTAAAGGATCTCATTTTTTTCCACAATAATTTTAAACCTTATAGTTGTTATTGTTGTAACCATGGAGACCATGCTTGTTCTCAGTCAGAAGAGGCCAGGCGCCATCTTGTTTTTAAAAGTTTTTATTAAATAGAAAAAATAAACAGTTTGGCTTGATTATATTTTATGTTAAAAGTCCTTCAAATATATTTAAATATTTATTGAATGTAATTTCACCAACATATCCATATAGAGCAAATGGCATTTTTTTAAAATTCATAGAGCTACGCCATCTAGTTTTCAAACATTTCACATCTAATTCAACAAAGGTGTTTCTCTCAAACAGAAATAAGAGTTATTTTCAAATCATTAAATCACTGTTAACATTCCTGACAAATTCAGTTGACTAGAAACATTTAATCTCTGAGATGTCAAAGATGCTACATGCTAAGCTAGCTTAGCTTGTAGCCTAGCATGTAGCCAGCTTCATGATAAAAACATCAAATTAATAATTTTTCACCTAACATTTTTTTAATTAACATAGTAAAGTGAGTGACAAACCTTCCAGACGATGTCCCGACAAGTTGTTGTCCTCTGGTGCGACGGTCATCTTTAGCAAGTTAGCAAACCACAGACTGCAGCAAGTTCGAGCTTCAAGGTCCCGGTTAGAAAGGAGTGGTTTGAGAAATGCGCTCCGTGTCCATGGCAACCGATAGGTCTGCGCATGCGCGCGAGTTTGAGAGGATTTAGATAAGCTTGCTAATTGCAGTAGCTAATTAGCCAAACAAATCACGTTTTTCTGCAATAATATAGTTTCATCCTCAGCTAAACGAGAGTTTAGTCAAAGTTTGCATTTAATAAGGCAAAGGAGCGAGTTCTAAAGCTCACTGCTCACTTTCTAAGGTTTTCTACCACAGTTTGAAATATTTTACAATAAACATGAATCTGAATTTGGAAATAAATTTCTTTCTGAATGAGGTGATTTTTTTCCGATCACCATTATGATTAGAGCCCAGATACAAATAACAGAGTATAGGGGCCAGGCTAGAGATTTTTATTTCAAGAATAAAATCATAGCATTACAGGAATAAAGTCATAAAACTATTAAACAAATAAAGTTGCGACATTACGAGAATAAAGTCTTAATATTATGAGAATAATGTTGAAAAGTACCGAGAATGAAGCCATCATACTGACCAGCATAACCAAACAGCAACCTGAGTCTGCTTTGACACCCTTCCCATTATGATGCTGCTGTGC